GTGTATATCAGTATGTAGTGTCTCTACTTTAAAGAGTCCTCTCCTGCTGATGTTCAGGCGTATATCAGTATGTAGTGTCTCTACTTTAAAGAGTCCTCTCCTGCTGATGTTCAGGTGTATATCAGTATGTAGTGTCTCTACTTTAAAGAGTCCTCTCCTGCTGATGTTCAGGTGTATATCAGTATGTAGTGTCTCTACTTTAAAGAGTCCTCTCCTGCTGATGTTCAGGTGTATATCAGTATGTAGTGTCTCTACTTTAAAGAGTCCTCTCCTGCTGATGTTCAGGTGTATATCAGTATGTAGTGTCTCTACTTTAAAGAGTCCTCTCCTGCTGATGTTCAGGTGTATATCAGTAAGTAGTGTCTCTACTTTAAAGAGTCCTCTCCTAGTGTCTCTACTGTGACATGTCTCCATGCTTTAATGTTCAAAAAGCTCTTTATTCTTCTCATACTGTCTGTGCTGCAGCACCTCTTTTCACCCTCTGTCTGAAACCAGAGCCCAGTCTGCTCTTATTGGTTAGCTGGCCGGCTCTGTTGTGATTGGTCAACTGCTCAGAGATGTGCCACTCCTTAGCCTATCACGTACAATGTGTTGTAGCACTAGACCTAAGATTGTCATCGACATACACTGTCGCCATGTACGTATGAAAAATAAAAGCCTTGAACCTTGAACCGATTGAAGTGCAAGTTTTAAATAGTGATATCATTATGTTACAAAAGAGAAAACAAAGGGTTTTTTTTAGGGTTTAAGGGGTTTTACCATTTACCATATAACACACTACAGGAAAGGGACAACCCCTAAAAAGCATAATAGGGCCCCTTTATAACATCTGCTCCCTTTTAAAACACACTAACAGCGGTGATTGGTTGCAGGTTTGAGGAGCACCATGCCTCCCAGGTGAAGGCTCTGACCGGTGACAGTGAGGATCAGACGAACAGAATCGCCCAGATGGAGAAGGAGATGACCTTCCTCCAAACTGAGCTGTCTGCCCAGAAGGAGGCCAACGTGCGCTCCCCCAGCAACACCATGAAGAACCTGGTGGACCGACTGAAGGCTCAGCTCACCCAGAGAGAGAAACAGCTCAAGGTTCTTTTATCACATAAGTTCACTTCATGGATGTATAAAGAGATATGGATACAGTGTTGGAGGCGGGGCCACGTTCATGTCCATGAAAGTGGCTTTTTGTAAATATAAACTTGCCTCTTGGAAAACAACAATACCCGAAATCTTCAACCTGAGAGTATGTGCACTTGCATTTTCCTTAAGCCCCGCCTCCCATTTGATTTAAGGCAGTGTCAGGGCCGGTTTCACCTCAGTCAGATTGAATCTAGAGGTTCAGGGGGTTAATGTGCTCTTCTGTAAATCAGGGGATTACCGGTTCAGTCCCACACCGGCTGTAAACCTGTCGAAGTGTCTCTGACTAAGATAACTAACCCCAATTGTTTCCAGAAGACATGTCTATGCTATTAGTGTATGTACGGTAAGTCCATCGGTCGACAAGAGTCAACACCCTGCTCACTTCCTGTGGGCCTGGTTTACTTGTCCCTTCTAGGTGGTCTGTCAAATAATGGTGCAACATAACATATGGTTTTTAGTCTGCCTTGATAAAATACCCAGATTAATCTCTATGAGGAACTACTGCTCCCTCCCAGTCCACAGATGTGCCTCACAGGTGATCTGGGGTCAGTAAATCTTGACCTGGATGTGTATCCTGCTGGTACTGAAACATTAATTACGTTTGAATAATTACTACGGTACTTTTCAGCATCGGGATTAATAATGGTGATTTAATAATCTTTCATAACTCCAGCCAAGTATTTCTCACTACTTACAGAAGAAGATGTTGCTTATCAAGTATCAAAGAAGAAGAAGCATCCATGAAGAAGTGGATGGTGCATTTACTGTGAAATGACGTCTGATATCTGCACTCATCATATGTATGTTATCTGGCTTCTCTCTGCTCTCTGTTGTGTTTCCAGGCTCTCAGTAAAGCTCTGCTGGAGCTGCGGGCGGAGATGACGTCTGCCGCCGAGAGTCAAGTCATCGCCGGCGCTGCTCAGAGGGAGGAGAGTCTCAACGTTCAGATGCTGGTGGACAGGCACACCAAAGACCTTAAGGTACTCAATAAAGTCAGACTGAAGCATCCTTTGTGCTCCAGTCAGTCCTCACAGAGCTGGATCCCACATCAAATGCAGGCTGAAGGCTTGAGCATGTTTTCTCTCAGTGATTGTGATGTAATGTTAAATGTTTGTTGTTTGTTTTTCATGTATTGTGTCTTGATGTTTGTCTGTTGATGTTACACATGGAGCTGCTGTGATGGAAGTCACATTTCAGACTTGATCTGACCATTAAAGTATTATTGTATCGTAAGGTGGGAGCCCTTCATTATAATGACAGACATGCACCTCGTACTGTACATACATGCCAACCTTTCCAAATCCAAAAGAGGTAGGTTTGCGCGTGGCAAATGTGCACGCCCAAACTAGGTAATCAGTAGAAATGGAACCCCAGAAATTACACGTATAAAGTAAACCATGTATTTAACATAATTGCATCATTTTATGCATTTTTCAGAAAAAGTGGTAGTTTGGTAAACAGTGACATCAACGACATGTCTGGTCTGTAAAATGCCCGAAAAGTAAAATAATGGGAGATAAATATCCCAAAGTCTCGACATTTTGTTATATTTTTAATGTGTTACTGGTCCTCTTTAAGTTGAGACAGTGTAGATGAAGGATGTGTCAGGATGTAGAACTCTTGTGTGAACATTGGATAAAGCCAGGTTCATATTCTTTTTTCATGTTGTTGACATATTAGAGTCAAAAGTTTGCACAGAGTGAAATATCTTTGTGTTGCGCCATAAATCAGAAAATACTGCATTAAAAAAGTGTGATATAAATAACGACATGTTTGGTGTTGAAAATGTCAGAAAAAGTGAAAGAATGGGAGATAAATATCTC